AATTTAAAAGGATTTACAATTTCCTCTTTCCCAATTATTCTTAAGAGATGCCATTTTAGAGTATGTATTGGAGTCATTCATTGTTATTTACGGACGAATATTACTCTAATATATTCGGCTTGAAGAAGTTTACAGTATAAATGATGTATTCACTTATTCGATGACTTCAAATCAGGCCTAACAAATAAACAACGATAGCCGAATGAAATTTCTTTAAAACATTTAAAAGAGCTGTCATTGAGACAAGGATCGTATAAAATAGTTAATAACGGTGAATAAATATTTTGTGCTTATATTAAGAAGTATCTCGTAATATTTCGATAAGCCTTTATGTGAAATTGTCTCATATCTTAACCAATTAAGCTATTCACATAGAACAAACTTTATGTCTAATTTTCAGCCTCAAAACGAAGCTTAAAAATTAGTGGATTTATCGAGGCTTGATATTGTTAACATTCCTTCAGAAAAGGCGTCGTTCTTAGTTCCATGGGTATAATATGACACGTTATCCAAGAGAATTCAAAATTTTATCTTGGTAGACGCCCAAAGCATTCAATTAATGGTTAGTGGTTGAGTGTCGAAAAGGAGTTTATTGTTATGTTAGTCATTCGAATTCTGAAATCTTCCACTTTGCTTTATTGACATAGTTCACTACATTAAGCTTTGCTTTTCCGAGCTTTAATTTTCTCAATTTGATCTCCAATCTCACCTATTATTCCTTGTCAACCAAGAACAGGGTGTATTTTCAGGTTTGCCAATTATTTCAAGGAGTTTCCGATTCTTGAATGCATCTCACAACCTTTTTCTTTGCAGAAACTTATTATAACATACTTAATCGTTGATGATGATGGTGGTGGTGGTGGTGGTGATGGTGTAAATTAAGGCGAAAAAAAGTAATGGTTGTCATTGATTTCTCTTTGACTTCAATACCCTAATTAAATGTTGCTTAGTGACGTCAAGTGCTACCTCAACTCTATAAACGCAGTGCTTTGGTTTGGGCTCAAACATCTGATGATTATTATTTATAAACCGAGTACTTTTCCTTCCTCTATGATTTAAAGAAAAGAGAAATGGGATCAAATGTTTTCATATTGTATTTTTTAATTATTATATCATTAAAAACCCCTTTTAACTTCAACTTTAGTTCGTAAGACTGGTTTGAATTTATTTAAAAGTTAAATCATTTCTTAATATTCACTTCCAAAAGGGATAAGACGCCTATTGAGATTTTATATTCGTGATATTTATTTTGTTCAACTTCAAATCATCAATTTCACGCCAGCCATTTAAATATGAAGTGTTGACTAACCTCTTGTTCTCCACCATATAAACATCTGACATTCTCGTAGACTACTAAGGAATAACGGCCATTCCGTTTCAGAAAATTAAGAGTTGAGTGAAAAGCAATAAACCGGATATTTCTGCATTATGAAACCTCATAACTATAAGATGATTTCGAATGAAAGAAATACTCCCCCCTCCCGTGAACCTATCAAAATGTCAGCTGAAAAACGCAACAAGTCATCTTTAACCCTCATTCTTGTCATCACTAATGCCTTTGAGCATCCTCTCCTTGCTTTCTTCTAAAAACGGTTTACCACCTGAGAAAAATTTACTGAACCTTCACGGGCTTAAAAAGTATCTATTGTATTCGCAGCCTGTCATTCGTACTTTTTGGAGTTAGAAACTATAATATTCCCAAATGTATATCTTTTTAAATATTTTTTATCTGTGTATAATTAGTATATTTTTCATGCACACTTAAAGTGGAACCTCATATTTAGCGAAGGGATCTCAACTTGATTCACGTTTACTCGAATGATCAAACTTAAAGATTTCACCAAAGATGCACATACGGAGAGAAGGGAAAGTAAATTAGTCAAATTAGTCGAGTTCTCTTTGACTTGAACTTTAAAGGCGATAGAAGGCGGGACATAGAGAGGGTTAGGATTCTCTTAAAAGATAAAATTCCGTCTTTAGAGTTGCAGAAGAACAGCTGATATTTGCATCTGGTACAAATCTGTTCGATTCAACCCAATGCCCCGACCTACTATACATATAACTTCATGTAGAGAATGTTTATTTCTATTTAAAGTAAAATTCTTGGCATTTTCCCTTAATATGGTAGGTGGTCTCCCTTACTCACAGGCTCCCCTTCAATTTTGTTAATCCTTAGCCCACTAGCAAAATACTTGATTTCTGATAGTCGGTTGGATTCCAGTAAGAGCGTTAGTTTAGCTGAAGGAAATAATGAAGGATAGCAGTTTTTAACTACTTAAGCGGCAATATGTGAACAATTTGAAGTTCCCAATTTTACAAGCTTTATTTTATGGAACTCTCTTTAAACTACCTTTTATTCATGTAGCTGGAAAATTTCCCTCTCAACAGAAGATTGGTCAGCGAAGTGGACAAATTTCCTTGATATGAGTTTTCCAACCGATAACATCTACTTTATACACAATTGAATGCCAATTGTTCCACAAACTTGGTAGTCTATCAGCACAAAATGAATTGATCATTTGATTACTTCATTACAACGATGGGGACTGAACATTAGGGAAGATGTTCAGATCATGAAAAGAATCGTTGGTTAGGTAAATCAAAGTCATAATTTAGGATTAAAAAACCAAACACCTTGGAAAACAACTGCATAATGCTCAGACACGGCCTAATTACTAATTAAAGCCTTCAATTTAGATTCATTAAAATTAAAAAATAATAATTAAATAATTTAAATTAAAATGGAAGCCCAATAAGCGATTTTAATCAATGGAAATAGTAGCAGATTCTTGGCTTTGATCGGAAGAAAATCAGGTTCATGAAATCTGAATTTTTGCTTCATCTCTTCGTATCTGGGACAGGTCAATATTTCTGGCGCGTAGTAAATCCGATTTCAGCTCTTTGAATGGTGCTTAGGTAAATGGCGTTTCACTCACTTCTGTCTCTTATTTGACTTAAAGCATCCGATAGCTGAATACTGGAATTCATTTCGATCACGTCGATGGTGCGGAAGCATGGCTTTCCTTTTTCCCAAACAGTTGACAACACTGTATTTCACTACGTAACTCGAATTTTCGAAGACGAGATTTACGCTTTTAGAGGCAGAAATTGGCATTCTTGCATGTTTGTGTGTGTGACTACTCGGGCAAAAGGAAGTCTCCTTTGGTTTGAACTCAACCTTTTTTACCACCTAGCATAATAGGTAATTACTTTTCAGTTGCCCTGTACTTCATTTAGGGCCTGGGTTTTCGAAAGTAAAGATTTTGGTAAATAGGAATATTGAATTTTTAAAATTCCTGCATTCTTATTATACTACTTGGTAATATATACCATTCCCTTGTTTCATTATTTACTAACTGACCGAGCTCAATTTTTGCTATTGATCATTCAAAACCTTTTAGTGACTTTGTAAATTTTAGAAATGGGATGAATTTTATCTTGAAAAAATTTTCGAGAAGTCATCGAGTTACTTTCTATGGAGCCGTATTCACACGAACAATTTTACACCTGAAGACAAAGGATTAAGCATGATTTAAATTTAAAAATAAACTTGTGCTGAAACTGTCCGTTTCATACGTCTATTAAGTGCAAAAGAAACTACAATGGTGGCCATATTAATTAATATCAAATCGTGGGATTTAATACACGATAACAATAATAGAGGTGATATATATTTAACTATGAGGACTTGGGACGCTTCAATAGAACTGACAGATCAAGGAAATTTTGTCAATGGGATTTTTTATTTTATTCTTTTCATGTCAGTTCGAATGATATTTTCTGCTGCTTTTCCATGTGTATTTTGAGAATCTTCATGTTGAAACTAAAATTCACGATGAGACGGCTTTCAGATATGTGGTGCTTCAACAATCTTAATTTTTTTATGACTCAAAGCATCGGGAAATTGGCCACTGTGTGCCCACATTGTTTGAAGTGCTCGAAGAACATTAACCTCATCGAGAAAGCATGAGCACCGCTTGCTTTTCCACAAATATTAACACGCAGTTGCCAGCTTAAACTCTCTCTCTCCCTGACTTCGCTTGAGCCTCCCTAAGGCATCGATTCAAGCTCTCAGCGATGTGGGGTAACATCATTGGTTGCAGCTAGTTCAAGCCAGTGACTCTCAATTCGATCCATCATCCTTACCTATGACATTGTGCAAGCTTCTTCCTTAGTTTCTATTGTATATAGTAAGATGAAGTATTATTTCTTGAAGTCTGGTTGCAGGGCATATCGAAGAAAACTGCTTGCTCTTTCTAGTTCTGAGGCAGGCCTTTCGCAACATTGTAGAAAACCTTATCCATTTCATTACCGGCCAAGTCTTAATACTATTAAAACTATATTTACTTTTCAAACACTCTGCTTATTGGTCAGAGCCTGGTAATTCTAAGTGAATTATTTGATAATTTGACAAATTTATTTATTCCTCATAAAAAATATACCAATTTGTCTAGTCAAGACTATGGTGAAATAATTTTTAAAAAATTAATGGCATTGCAAATTTATCCGTATTATTTATAAACTTATGAAATACAAATCTTGTATCTGAACGTCATTTAATAATTTCTCAACTAGCCAAAAATTATAAGTTCACAATACCTCATTCCATATCTGTCAACTTTATTTTGGCTGTATTTACTTTTTGGGTATATTCATATAACTTTGAAGAGACAAGAACATATGTGCAAACACAAAAATTAGCCCGAATAGATTTTGTGGCCATAGCAACGGCAATTCAAAGCCAAACATGAATCCTGATCATCAATTAAGCTTCTTTTATATGAATATGGCAGTGATTCGATAAGAAGTAGCATCAGCTATAAAAATAGAAGCGGGAAAAATTAATGTTAAGGGATTAGGTGAAATGTTTTTTGAAGCCCTTGAATTAATGATCTAGTGATGCTAATCTTGAATGAAGTATAATTAGGTATTTGAAGGATATCAGGATATCCAACAACGTAGAGATGGGAATATTTAGTGTAAGCCCTAGAGCTACTACTATGCCAACAGCCGCTAGACCAGTATGGAAGCACAGAAAAGCAAAATGGATGCAGAATGCGGATCATTTGGGGAAGTTGACAAGCCTAAGTATACTCAGAATTATGGCCCTTTCTAAATAAGAGTCTGAGGGTTACTGTGGTAAGATATTTACTTCCTCTTACCTCTTTACTCTTCAATGGGTCTTAGTTCAACTTTTCATCCACCATACTCGCAGAGGTCCTAGTAGTCTATCATATTAACTCGTCCTGTCAATACCATGGTCTCTAATAAGCATTTATTTAGACCACGTTCCCTATATCGAAAACGGGACTATAAGGTGTTGTGAATAGAATTTGATACATAAAGTTTCTCGAGGTAACAGAACATGGAGCCCACTTTTCCATCCTTAGACAGGGCCTTATGTCATAGATTTGAAGACTGTTGAGAACATTTATTAAAATGCCATTATAGGCGTGGCAAGGTATGTTAATAAGAAGGCGAAAATAGGAGATCCTGGCCGTGAATTTGTCATAAGGACTATTTCTGTCTAAAGCAGAATGAAATCGTTGCTAAATTTATCTCAGGTCCACGAAACGTCCTTGTTGGTGTCGAAGAAATTTTCGTTCTGGGTGGTGAGGTTGATAGCTAATAGTATAATTCCTCAACAGTGCTGTATTTGTTGGCTTGAAAGACATGTTGAATTCGATGAATCTCATATTCATAACCTTTAGTCATGGCATGACATTGGGATCGAGTTTTGCAACATTATAGCTGTATTATTAAGTTACTTCTTTGGCCTGCTGCTTACGATCTTCGATTATTGCAAGCGGTTTATGCAGTATCGAGAGCATCGTGCAATTTCAAATTCATTGATTTTGAAGAAAGTTAAACCACTTTAAACTATACTATCACAGAAGTTGGTGATTTTAGTTCATACTGCTATCAGGACCATTTTTTATCTAAATTTTACCTTCAAATCGAAGGAGGAAGATTTCTTATGCTTCGGATAATAAGTTCATTTTTATGTCGGAATTTCGAAATCATGGTCCCTGAAACAATAATTATCTTTCAATCTATATGCAATAAAATGTTGATGTTAAATGTTAAAGAGCGTATATTATTATGGGTTCTGTTGCATATATACTGTGAGAGACTCAGTAAAGAGGAGAATCTATCACAGAGGTTTCTGAGCTTTAGTCGAGGTTTACTAAAGTAGATAATCCGCTACAATACTTATATATTTTTCCCCGCGACAAGACAAACGTGTATGGCTTATAATGATGGTGATCGCCCTAACACAGCAGAATAATGGTTTGGTTGGTCTATCGGGTCATATTAGGTGATCTGTTGCCTCAAAAAGTTAAGAGATTTTCAGCTTAACACAGACCCTTATAATTCTCTTAATTGGTCGTCTCTAAATATGGCTACATATAAAGTAGACTCTATCACAGACTACGAGGAATAATAGTCTTCTTCAATAACGTTGGTAGGTAATTCATCACCTAACCTAGGGCAAAGCACAATCGATGCACTCCTGAGTCATGTTTACATACATGAACTCACAAGCTTGGTCTAAGTTGAAGTAAATGTTTCCAAAACTGACTTCAGGATTTGTACTTAAAAAAACAGAATAAGTATGGAGTATTTTCATTCAATATTTCATTTCTTTGTTTTAGGTCCGTTCTGAACTTCAACAAATGACAAGTATGGTGGAGTCCATAGCAGTTGACGTGCTTACACTGGTCTCATTGAAGGACAATACGCCGGAAAAGGAGATATGTCGAGGAATACTCAATGCACCCCTGAGAACCTGTGGCGATCTTTCATTGATTGATTTGTGTGCCCAAGCTAATTGTGCCAATCTCTTGAGCTTACCCATTTGCCAAAGAGTTCTCGATGAGCGCTGGAGAGGAGTCCTTGCTCATCTTCCAAACTGGATTGGGTACATCTCCAGGTTCTTGCCCTTTGTCGCCATAGCCTACCTTGAAAGAAAAGCTAGGAAGGAACGCGCTAAGGCTTTAGCTGACTTTATTGCAGACGCAGCAGGCTACTCAGCTTCTGGCACTACAGCAGCAAACCAAAAAGACCTCAGCATAGAACCGAGTTTCTTTTCTACATTTAGCAAAGATTCTGATCCCTGGAAACCGGCCAACGTTTCGCCTAATAAAAAACTAAACGGTAGAAAGGAGCCATCCACTGCTGTAGTTTCTTTGAAACCCGAAAGCTCGAAAGGCCCCACACCTTTGACCATCTATGATCGTCTTTCCAGACAATATGGCTGGCAGAGTTCGCCACGTTGGAATTTTGTCAAGGCCATCTATGCTTCTCCCGAGGTTAAATTCTTCTTTCATTCCATCTTTCACGTTTTCTTTTTGGTTACCTTCACAGGGGTTCTTGTTAATGATCTTCACTATAAGATTAGTTGGACCGAATGCGCAGCAATTGCTTATATTATCGGATATGGTGTTGAAGAAATACGGCAGATGATAATCGAATCACTCAGAGGGCAGTTTGGTAATTATCTCAAGGACAGTTGGAACGCATTGGAGTTATTTGCGATTGGGCTCACGCTAGTAGGATTGTGGGTTAGGATAAGCAAGATTAAGGAAGAAGCTCCCCCCGAATTGGAAGCTTATAATAACACATTTTACTTTGCTCGAGTCTGCTATCTATTTAGTCTTCATCTATTCTGTTTGCGAACCTTGTTCATAACTTCAATCTCTCCAATCATCGGTCCACGGCTCAAAATGATGGCTGATATGCTGCGAAAGGATCTTGTTCCTTTAATTATTGTATTCGCCATATTTCTATACTCATATGCTATCTCATTCCAAGGCTTAATGTATCCGAACTCATTTAAAGAAAAACGCTTCCAGAATGGTTCTGTTATATATGAAAAGATGCCGTTTGCAGAAACAGTTGAGAAGATGATTTCTCGAGCTTTTTATTCCATGTTTGAAGTGAGTACCGCGTTAGAGGAAGCTCAGTGCGATTATGGCAATGAATTTTGCGGAAAAAAAGCCGGGAATAAATTTGTCATTCTGTTCGTCTTGATAGCGTATACAGTAGTCGTTAACCTCATCTTGATCAACCTACTTATTGCTCTGTTTAGTAATACTGTGTCCCGAATTGGAATGCAGTCCACGGCACATTGGTTGGCTGATCGATATCAGATGGTTAAAGAATACCAAGATAAATCGATGTGCCCACCACCAATGAATCTACTTTCCATTTGCATAGAACTTTTCTTTTGTTCTTTTCGACTCTGTCGATGCTGTAGGCCTAAAAGGAGCAGCCAAGATGGCAGCAAAAGTGCGAACAGTTCAAGCGGACGGAGATGGCAGGTTAGTGCATCAGAGAGTCGTAGTTCCGAAGATTTAAATGATATCGAAAGTCAGAATAACGTGGTTAATATTAATCATCCTGGTGTGAGTAAAGAGGAATTTGAAATAATTCGGAGTGTGGCCAAACGAAAATGGAATCGGAAGCTCCGTAACTCTCGACGTGTTCAACAACTTACTCACAACCTAAGGAGTGCTCTTTGGGGCCGAAGAACTGAGACTGAAGCTGTACTGCAATTTATTCTAGTCCAAAGCTTTGCTTTGAAAGGTCGTCGTTATACGCTGGGTTCAGTTCATACCGGATTAACGTCGGGCTCTGGTATGACGACGTCTAGTGGAATGTTTGAGCATCGATTACAGGCTTTGGAAAAACGCCTAGATGACTGGCTTCCACGGTTGATGGAGGAAATTAAGAATCTTAGAGAAGCTGAAAGATATCCTCCAAGTCCTTCTGATTACCAATTATCTCAAACACTGGATCCTGTTGAGGGGTCAGAACGAATTCAATTGAATTTGGATGGTATTCAAGGACGAACCGTCTCTGAGAGTTCTGAAAGGAACTCGGGAATTTCTTTGAGGGTCCACCAACCTCATGATTTATTGTACAGACGACCTGTTTCAAAACTTTAAGTAGACCCTTTCCAGACTGTCACTAACCTTACTCTAGCCCCCCCCCCCCTTTGGCCTGATAAAACTACTTACTTACCTCTACTCTTCCTATTCCAATAACCTCCATATTTTGCTTTTTCCTTGCCTATATCTTAGAGACAAAGCTGCCTTCCAGATTCTCAGTATCGATGCTTGAATAGATTCCTTTAAAATCAAACAGAATTATTAAATTCAGATTTGTTTAAAAAGATCCTATTCCAGAGAGCAGATTAATTCTTCTCCTCTGACTGAAAGAATCATTTATTCTTATAATAATTTAATTCGTGGAGCGATGTAGGAAAACTTAATTTCCCAAATTATTGCGATTGGGCTATAGCTTGCGTTTCTTTGATTATTGATATTATTTTGAAGCCAAAGTCGTAGTTATAAAGAAATGTAGATAAAGTCTCGGAATCTCATTGAATCGCCAGGGGCTGGTTAAGAGTTAACAGGAAAATAAATGTCATGAATGTTGAAGAAAACAAAATATGGTTCGAAGAGCTAATATGATTTAGGAGGTTAGGTCCTAAAACTGCTAACTTTAACATAAGATAACCCGGTTAGATCTACTTGAATTGTTACAAAGGTGTATGATAAAACTCTTAAACATAATATGTTTTAGACGTTTGGATATGAAAAACTATGGTTGTTATTAGACCGCTATAAATGCTCATATTTTTTTTAAATATCAATTGGCAAAAGTGAATAGTGTTTTCTAATTTTTAGACAGTTGGTACCTAACCCGTTACTTTTTCCAAATTAATTCAACTGGGAATCAAAATATATAAATAAACTTACAAATTACGATGGCTTAATTGCTTAGCAAACACGTAATCTCTTAACCTTTAAATAACAGAGCCTAATGTTTGACTGCATATCATCAAATAAAACTATTTGCCACTATCTGATAAATACAGTCCCGGTCATTATCTGGAATACTTTTCCATTCCAAAAGGTTAGTTATTACTTAGTCACTGAATATTGACTGACGAAAATTACATAACCATAAATCGTAGTTAAATCTGACAAATACTGTTTTATAATTTCTCTGATGGAATGACAATTTCAAAATCGATTATCTTCGGAATGTAACCTATATATTTCTATTAATAGGATGTATGACAATTTTGTTTATATCTAACTATATAATTTGGGCAGATATGCACTTTAGTAATATCAAAATGCCCTAAGTACCATTAGCATAAGGATAAGAATTTCTATACCTATTCTTAAACTGATGGCTATAAATAACCATGATGACGCAATTTGTGTTCTTGTTCCCACTTTTAAGCAAAAATTATATTTATTTTGAATAAAATAAAATGTTTTACCTAAATATATATAATATGACAATTGGTTATAAATTAATACTACAATGTTCATCTGTTCTAAAATAGCTAGGTCAATTATTATTGTAACACATCGACCTAAATGGTAATCTGATTGTCTCGTGTAGTATCGTGATTCATAGGTTTGTATATTCGAAAATGTACCTTTTTAATATAATTTTAAGACTCTGATTAGCTTTGGTATGGCATTCACTGATTGTTTACAATTTTTCATTATTTCATTCATTAATTCCGACTTGATTATATGTTTTTTGGTGATATCACCAAGCAGGAAAATAATGACGAGTACGCTGACAATCAATGGATTGAACAATTGGTCATGAGTTGTCAAACATTAAATTCCGATGAATCAGTATCCCAGGAGAGACAACATCCTCGTTTGCGTCAGATATGCCTTGCCGATCGTTATTTCACTACTCGGTATTTTCCAAATGTCACTCATGGTGATTTCTGTATAATGCAGCATTCCAATCGAATATGCGTTATAGGATTAGCCCCTGGTCACTGGATTTTCAGTAATTGCCTAAATAATCAGACTCACAACATTATTGGAGTCGATTTTCAGCTCAACGACTCCTTCAACCTTCTTCAATGTAAGGTTAGTGGCCGCAGAAAGCGTGGCAGTCACAAGCTGCAACAGAGGAATGGCAATCATTGCCTTGGTTACGCCGTTTGTGATCGAGGTGAACGGCATGCCTTATTTAGTGGTGGTGGTGCGGGGCTATCAGGCCGGCTTTATGAATCTAATTCCAGATTGTCAATCAAATTATCTGGAAACGATCGTGTTTCTCTTGCGCCTATTGGACATACTGGTAACAATGCGGCTTATCTGGCAGTAATTATGCCTCCTCGAACAAAAACAGAGAGTAGTGAAGATATCGACATTGGAACAGAATCTATATTGACCAATGATGGTTTCGTGACTGGTGGCTTGACTTGGGATGAGTATAAAGTGCTGAGGGGTTTGTAAATAAATTTTTTCCACTTTATTGAGTTAACTAATCTTTACTTAATGTGAGGTGAAATTTAGTGTTTTTTCGTTGTGAATTGTCCAACTGAATGGACAGCTGTGATATTTGTATTTTAGGTAATATCTGAACAAAATGTCACTGACAAGAGTGGTGAACCTTATTTTTTACTTTCGAATTGAATAGAAGTGTTCACTGTGTGTGATATGGAGGTTAACCATGATTTTATAATGGTAGACTTGGTTTTTGATGATTTATTGTATCAAATGGCAAGCCCTATGATAGTTATCATTAGCTTCTTAGTTGGCTTTGGGTTTCTCAGGGAGAAGAACATCATTGTCACTAAAGGTCGAGAGGGGGGAGCAGAAGGTTGATTCACAGACGGAAAAGGGACAGACACAATGGTGGAGGAAAAGTTAAGATGAGTACTGTGGAAGTGGTCGAATATGACATAGAGTCGGGTTATGTTAGTACATAGCCAGAAGTCAACTGCCGGTATATAGTCTTTTTGCCGTATGAGTATTTATTGCCCAGGGTGTGCCAGTGGTAAGTTTATCGCACACCCCAGGTTGAGTAAAATATTGACCATTTGATTATACCCTTAGTAATTAGGTAATTGGGAACAAATTACTTTCGTCAGCACATTTACGAACGTTTTGCAAGTGACGTAGGTATTTAGCATAGGAAAAGGTTTATTGTACACCTTGTAACTAAAGGATTGCGATTCTATACAAGAATGTAACCTAAAATTGAAAAACTTGCATTTAAAACAAAGAAAATTACTGTTACTTTTAGGAAATTCTTGGAACATGACCGAGTTTAAAATGTGAGCTCAAATCAACTTTAATTTCACGTCTACTTTTTGCTTCCTACTTACTCCATCGCTCGCTATTGAAATTGATTGAATGTGCGGATTTACTGGGTTTTCACTAATCATGGTCACGTCCCATGAGGAACTCGCATTATAGCAACCCTCTTTCTAACCTGAATTAACCAGTATGATTGGTCGCTAGTGACAATGGGTGTACAGTAATGAGCATTGATTCCACGATATCATATTTGGCAGCAGTGCGTGCTCTTTACTCAATAGTCAGCAATCTGCTTAATTGCATTAACATCTTCACCATCCAGTTCCGTCATAGACTAGGAAGTTGGCAGGAAGACGGAGGAATGCTTTGCAGTGCATGGGTGTTGGAGTATTAATTGGAGTACACCGTTCTAACACGATTAAACTAATCAATTTCATGTGCGTTCAGACATTCTGGAACGTGCGGCAGTGATACTAATTGCGCTCGGGAGCTAATGAGGTCGTGAGCGAAGAGCCCACTGGACCAATCAGCAATCAATGGTGGCTACAGTGTCAGCCTACCCAAAACCGTATTCAATACCTAAGCTCTGTGCCAATCTCCCATATAGGAGAGACACCACAGAATTAGCACAAACCGAATAAAAGTATTCCACGTTTTACGTTTACTTCCTGCAAATCTTGCTGTTGCTTAGTTAATTTCAGGAGCAATTCCATACTGGAAACATTTTGCCATAGAGGTTGCTGTGGACAAATCAAGGTTTGTTCGTGTAGCAATGCTCTTCACAGTCTTACAGGTATAATAATGGTATTGTTCTTTTTGATGCCTATTTTAATAGATGGGTTTGGTGATTATTTGTTGCCTATATTGGACGGTTTATCGAATCTTAATTTACCTCATTTTAAAGCTCTAAGAGCTTGATTAGTGATTCCTTCTATAGTGTTTTTGATCACCGCGCACCCCTTGTTGTTAATGATAGATGAGGTAATTTTGCAAGGGTAGAGTGATCAGTGATTTAATTGGACTCGAAAGTTATGAGCGAAATAAAAGCGGCGGGTTAATTTAGAATATGGTATCTAATGGTTTCATTTACTTAATGCCACATATTACTGGATTCGTTTAGCGGTGATACGGCCTCAATGAATTCAAAGGTCTCAAAATTTAAAACATTAAACGTGGCAGCTGACCGCACCGATTAAATTGGACTAGTGAAGTGGGTGGTGGATTCGAGTTTATCAGGGATGCACCATGATAAAGCTTAAATTGGTTTTGGGAGTTAATATCCCCGGTATTAGGGAGATATTAATTGCATAGCAGGGAAATAGACTCGATGGCTACTGACTGTAGAGGCTGAGCTTAAGGTAGAAGAACAAATCAGATGTATGTGATTGAATTGCTGATAAATCACAGTTACATTGTTAACCTGTATTTTGTGAGTTTCTCTGAAGAAACTTAGGTCAAAGATTCAGTGAACACACCAAGCATGGTGGTATAAGAATTCACATATATTACGAAGGAGGCGCCATGATGATGCCTCCCTTCCAAGGCAACTGTTGTGAAATGCTTTCCTAAATGGACTCAGGAACTAATACGACCTCCTTAAATACATGAGTGAATATTCAATCGCTGAAATGATCTCTATTAATGTAATGAAGATGTGGGATTTTGACAATTATTCAAGACATGTTTGACCCTTTGTTCTAAGCATTTCTTACGCACAAAATGCATCATTTTTACAATAGCGAAGAAATATGATACGTAAAATGAATAGAGAGTTTTGATGACAACAGTTATACCATGCCTATTGCTATTAATTCACTCAGTGATTCGCCTGATTTTGCCGATTCCAATTCATCATCCGTTTGATATACCTCAGGATCGAAGAGTTTTAAACCTTATTTAACAAAACATTTCGAATTCTCCGATGCAATATTTCGTTTTACACTTCACCGCGTGTTGCTTCGCAGAGTCTTCATCGCCTTATTACCTCGCGTTAGTTAAGATCATGGCGATCAAAAAAATACCTGCTTTGTATATTGGCTGATATAGTCAAAACTAGTGAGTTCGAGTTTAAGAAAAAATAAAACTATATTAAAGTTACATTCTAAGTCAAATTCGTTTCCTGATAATTGAGATTGCCATCGATGGAAATATTAAATTAGTAAGTAGGACGTATGAAAAAACTGATATTTACTAAGGTTGTGTGGCAGTGGGAAAGAAATTAGTCATTAGAATACAATTAATCAGGACTATTGATTACTGGTTTCCGGAGAGGTTTCTGCACTCATGACACATTTATTCCCTACTTGATCAGTAACATGTCCTAACCTTCGAGGCTGTCTCAGCGAGCATGAGATTTGTTTGTTCAGCCATAATAGCATTATGCACTACGCATACTCAAGCAAACATGGATTATTTGGACCATTTGAGACCGTTGAAGGCGATGTCCATCGTTGGATTTAAGGAACAGATTAAGTTAAAATTCAAAGAATATGAAAAATAAATTGTAATATTTAATAGTTACATCGAAATATAATAGCTAATTACTAATCAGTATCGGAGAGAATAAAACAACCATGATTTGGCTATTATTAGATAGTTAGAGAAATAAAGTGCCAAAAGTATATAATTAAAAACAAAACAAGCTTTAACGTATTTCATAAATTAATGGTAATAGAAAATTAAAAAATCACTTATCTCTCATAGAACGCATTAGCTTAATAAGCTTTTAGTCAATCAATCTACTGAGCACTCTGTTCGGATATGTTTTGTCATACGATGCAATTTTTTCCGGAATGGATGTGAAACAGCACGAAGAGCAAAAAATAAACTTTGCGAAAACAAAAGCAAAGTTAGAAAACATGAAACCGGATCCTTCTATATCAATAGATGAATTTATTTCTAAAATTCTTGTTTCAAATGGAAGCAAAGATATACCTGGCTCACATTCTAATCCAGCCAAAGCAAACTCAGAAGTATGTGACATTTATGGTGCCTAATGTTTCAGGTTAAAAACCCTTGCTTTGCCTCGAATGTTGAAAGTCTTAATAATTCGGCTGATTTCTGGGATAATTTTCAGTCTTCATCTACCATAACCCAGTGAGCTTACATTTTCTGTGGTATATTTTTGGCTGTGATATTTGTTGCAAGCAATTTAATTCTACATTAAGGTCAAATGAAGTTGAAAACCCTGTTAACGATGATGATTTTGACGAATTTACCTCATTTTCACCCTCATTTATATCAACTAACCTAAAACCTATACCTGAAATTAGCACCGATCGTTCACAACCTCGCATTCCAAACGTGAGTACTTTTCTTTCCAAATTCTTACTTTGCTACCTCGATTTTCGTTTTATTTCTTCTGATTTCAGAATGCCGTTTCCGTCGTGAGTCAATTGTCGTTAAATTCTACAAAATCCGTTGTCGTTTCTGTTAATGAGGCTTATATACCGTTCATTTCTACCATTATAATTCAACAGTTTTCAGGTTTCATCGCTCCTCAAAAGTCAATGTCAAATTCAAATGGTCGTCTTAACCACTGGGCAAGCTTTTTTATTTCCAATTTTAGAAATAGTTTTATTAGTATTATAATCATGCTTTTTGTCTTTTTCAGGCTGTCAATTTTACAAACGGTGACGTTTTTGAAGGTTCTCCTACGAAGGTAATTAAATCAATCTTTTGATCTTGCGGACTTCGAATTTCCTAGAATCTTTCGTTTTTTGCCCCCTGCTAGTTACAATGGCAAAGTAGGCTGTTCTTTTATAGACTATGCATACCACTATCGTTAAATTTTAGTTGGTCCCATCCTTCCTTTAAGTAGCTTGAATCTCCGTGCGTTTTACTCTTGGGGATAAGTGATCTTTTTCAGTGATAGGTGGAAGGCAAATGGGCTCGGTTAACAGCATGTCAAGTGCTTAACTTAATTAAATCAGAGGCGAACGAGTGAAATCTCAGCACAATTCAATAAAATAGCTAAGGTATTAATAATTCTCTCCTTCCGACATCCCAATTTAGGCACCACCGGTTTAGTGCGTTTCCGTAGGTTTGACTTAGTATCCGTCTGCTCGTATGCCAATATGGGAAATAGAAGGCTTGATATTAAACAGGTGTCAATCAAGGAAGGTCTTTTGAATGAGCTCCTCTATAATCAAGATGAGAGCATGTGAGGTATAAAGATAAATCAAGAAGCAAATAAATTAAATATGCCCCTCTCCCCCCCCCCCCCCCCCCCCCCCCCCTCCATATTAATATAATTTTCACTTATGTGTACTTGGTCTTAGACTGTATCACTGTATGCATTTTATTTTAGGCGTCAGTCGTTGAACAAATTGAAGTGCAACCACCTACGATAACGGAGACTACATTAGATGAAGACGGATTTGAAGAGTACTTTAAGCAGTTTGTATTTGTCTAATCTGCTGACTTTAGCTTCCAAGGCTGCTCATTCGAATCGGCTCCGTCTCCAATTATCCCACATAAACAACCCGTATGTTTACTAAATCTCTCTTCTCTAGTTCTTCTATTTTATAATTTTTTGTGATACGTTAATAACTATTCTGAAAAAAATTGTGTTTGGTAGTTTTGTTAAGTAGAGCCGCTATGATCTCAATTGCCAATTTGTATGGCTTTGTTGGGGGGCAGTGTGATGGTGTTGAAATTTGTACCGAAGTAGCTGCCACATCGCCTTATCCACAAGGCTTCCGGAATTGGTCGGGTTTTAAATTTGAGGTTGTGAATTATATATATACTTGTATTTTCTAATCACATGTTGTAATATAATATTTGTTTACATCATACCATTCGAATCGTGTATTAATTCCAAAATTATGGGTCGTTTTAGTCCAATTCAGATAGACCATGTGCTCCCTTTTGTCGTTTGGTCTTTCGAAATTGATTTTTTTCCCGTTACTACGTCATTATAACTTATTTAATCACACACCAGTCTGCATTGCTGGTTTTGTTTCCATTCTTAAAAATCCATCATCAAATAACTTGCTAAAGTTTTTAGATTGGTATGTCTTGCAATTAAAAAAACTTAACCTCTAGCAATTGCGATTTTTTTAATTATCCCAGATTAGTCACGTTATGGAAATTTTTACCTCCACATCTCTCTACCGATCTTAGTTGCTTAAAACTAAATGCAATCCTTGTTTCTACATGTCTCCCATGTTTTGCTTCTACAATATCCCCCCCCCCATTTCGTATCGAAGCTCATCTTTCTTTGCAGCAAAAGGAACTCCCAACAGATGGTTGGTTAAGGTGCCTGACTGAGAGTCGAAGCATGCTTGACGAGTCCGCTTCGGCTTTATCCCCTCTAGCCTCAGATTCAGACACTGATGCCTTTCTCTCAACTCCCCGTGGTTGTGACTTCATCTACGGTAAATGAAAACCAAAATATAACCCTACTTAATATGATTTCGGTGATATTCTTTTATAGAACTTATCGAGATCTATGGCATCTGTCAGAGAATACGTCTCGCTGCTTCTATCAGTAGTAAGTAACACTGTTTCCCTTCTTGAGTTTATTTTCATTTTGTTTAGACGTATCGGATCCACGGTTACTGAAGATTTTAAGTCAAATCGATCAAACCTGGAGTGACCTCGCAAAGTTTGTAAAAAGTAATGAGCACAAAGTGAGTATAATTTGAGCTTGAGGCAAGGAATAATACTTAATCGTTCTTTTTTAAGCACACAAATATGATTATCTTGCGGTTAGGGATAACAGTTAGCACGAATTTGAAGTTCATTGGAATATATTCATCTATACCGTCTTTCAGTGCTTTTGGAAGGCTTTATAATAGAATGAAATCTTCTTCTTGGTCGGTACCTTTATGTTTTTGTTAACTTCTCGTTATCATTTACCGCATTTATTTTATCTCGTGCAGTTCATTCTGAGGTAGCCAAATTAAGATTTTTAAAACATCTCAATTTTTCAGAAGTGGCCTCAAGCCAACCATAAAACTCACAGTTTACATCATTTTCAGATATCCTCAATGTACTGCATTTCAAAGAAATGTAGTAAAAAGAGTGATGCAAACATCTTGAAGCACAGAAATTTAAGGATTTAATTATATGTGAATTATTATTTCCAATGATAGTACGAACGTCTCACAATTTTAATCATGGGGAAGCCTCTGATTAAGACGAACAACAAGGGAATTGGACTGGGGGGATGTTGGCGGGTGGGGCGTTAATAAGTGAGAGTATTAAAAGTACTATTCTCGTTGAATTTTGAAAGCAATGAAGAGTCCATACTCCTCCGAGGTTCTTGTTTTATGCATAAATTGACTCGCAGATCAGTGGCGAGATTAACTTCATGATATTTTAATCCTTTTATAGCTATGAACGAAGTTTCTACTCTGCAAACCCGTTTACTTTTCTGGGAAAATGTATGAATTATTTAAGGCAATTAGTAGTTTCCAGAATCTGACTTCTAAGAGAAACTTACTGCAATTTTGGAATTTTCATTAACTTTTAAATCTAGGTTTTAGCATTAGAATGATTTAGTTGAGGGTTTTCTTTTTTTCTTAATGAGATGGGTTTCGATACCTCTTTATCTTGGATTAAAAGTTACCAGATTAAGTGTAGTTCATTGTCGTTAGTGGCTAAGTGTCAAGCAGTTTGGTTAAATATTGAAATTTGGTAATAACTCTCTTTTGGCATGCTTTAACTTTAATTTTTAAGGTCTTGCGTTATAGTGGGGAAATAATTTGCCATTTGCGAAATCCTGTTGGAAAACAATATTTTGTTCTTTTTCAGCAAATGCTAAATTTGTGTTTGGCGGAGTCCATAAAAGCAACTTCTGCTGTGGATGCTTTGTCCGTGGAACCCAACTGTGGGGTATGCGTTACTCCTGTATCGCCTTCTAACAGATTCGGTCCAGGAAGTGCCACGATATCCCTCGCTGGTCGGGTCTACCACGCTTCCTGCGCCAACCTCTGGGTCAACCGAATTGAATTCTCCTTGCCCTCCCTTCTTGCTCCTTGATTAATTTTTTTAAATCTGAAATACAAATGCATATCTCCTCTCCCAGTATATCACTTTTCCTTGCTAGTTGCTTGCTGTTTCTTGTTGTATTTAGTTTTCTTTTGTCCCACAGTTATGTTCGAACCACGTACTAATTATATCACTTTTAAAACGAAAATCGTTTTATTTTTACTTGCTCAAGCAAGCAGATCGCATTCACTGCATTTCAATCCAAAGCGTGGTGATGGCAGTTATCAACTTTACTCCCTCTCCATAAGCACCTTCCCATCAACTTTTCATGCTTTTTGCGTCATTGTTTTAATTTAACTTCTTGATAAATCGTTTACAATCTATGATATCATTTATCTCACATGTCGGATTCGAGTTAATTTCACATGATTTTCATCTTATTCACGTCGTTCATTTATTTCCCATTATTTTATTAAAACTAATTCAAATAGAGCTTCTCAATGTCCTCTAAGATCACTCTGCTTTGCCACAAAATCTAGCGTCTTATTTCCTTTTTAAATAGCATTTAGTTTTCCGTTTTTGTCGTCTTTTAAAACGGTATGGTGCATTTTTCCCAATTTCGGTGGTGCACCAATACCTTCATTGATTTGAACTACGTTTTTTCTGAAGATATGAAACGGGAATGTACACGAACAACCCTAAAGCCTCCATTTGGTGGATGGAGAAGAGGTTAAAGCTTTGACGTTTCTAATCCATAAATTAATATTTCGATCTCCAATAATGATTGTGGCGCATCTCTGCCACCAAGAACATATGGGTTGTGAGTACAGGGTCAGCAATCAAAGTTGGGATTGCTCACGGATAGAGGCTCCAATAAAAAGCTTACATTCCCAAATATATAACTTTATAAGATTGAATGGTTTAACTAATCCAATCTTCTTAACTATAGCTTGTTTGTTTCGGACATTGATCAGCCCACTTCAGAATAGGTAATATGGCAATTCCTAGCATTTTGCAATGTTATTCTGCATTCAAATGAACTAGTCCATCTACTAAGATTAAAGTATTGGTAGTGCCTGTTTACTATTTCACGAATTCAATTTAGACTAAACTATCGAATACAACTTTTTAGCCCTAGAAGCCCAGGTCCCACATGTTGCGGTTTTCTAGTTATAGTTTGCCCGTTACTCTAAGAGAACTTCTCTTTGTACCACGCTCTTAACCTTCAATATATTACGTTGTGTGCATAGTTTTCGATATTCAATGCTAATGAAGTTTTAAGTATTTAAATGGGTGCAATTCTTTTCTTGAGTGTAGGATATGGCTAAAACAGAGGAAGAAATGATCGAATCTTCAACTCCAACGCTCAATCATAGGAGTGTGGAAATGTTAGAGGCCTTTGTGAAGCGAATTACTGCGATTAATGAAACACTAACCCTCTCAGTTGCCCAACTTTCCATTCTGATCGATTTGGAGTTACATCAACTGCGCCAAATCTATAAGGAACTCGGGATGTCAGGCATTCCTGACAATTTCACCCCTGAAGAATGGCTCCTTGCCATCGAAAGCGGTTCTTTCCCTAGCAGTCCAAGGCCTAAAGAAGAACCACAGTCAGAGCCAGAAAGTGTTACTGATATGGGGCTTCAATCTGAGAATGAAGAAGAAAGAATACCTGCCAAAGAGGAATTTAAACTTGAAAATCCTATTGAAGTAAGTGTTTCTATCATTCAATTAACCGATGTAAATCCGAGGTTAAATTAAGTCATTCGCTGTGCCCAAATATTTCAGTGGTGGTTGCACATCCACTTTATTCATTTTACTTAAAATGAATATATTCGTGAAGCCCATTCACCGTTGTTTCATCGGGGATATTTCCTTATGAGGATCGTCTATTAAGGTGGGAAACTTTATTTTTGACTAACTTGATATTTAGAGTAACTGACGTGTCAGGCAGTTTTATTTGCAACACGTGATTGCTCCCATTTGAAAAAGCAAGTGGAAACTTTTAAAATAGCAAAAATTTTGAATACGAGGCTACTAGTCTAATCAAGTCGGGTTTAGAGTGATCCCTTTACAAAACGACTTTCCATGAATCAGAGGAACAAACGTTGAATCAAACCGCTGGTGTATTCAGCGATCGAAGAGTAAAGAGTGAAGGGTTCAAGGAACTATGTATTGAAAATGGGAGAGTTGTGTAACTCGGTCGGTTCAATTAGTCGTCATAGACATTAGGTAGAAACTCCTTTGGCATAGTTAATTGATCAAGTGTGGTAAATATGGCTAGATTGATCCTTGGGTCACCATGTTCGTACTACTTTCTTTTCGTGTTATGATGATAACGAAGTCGGCTGAGATTTTCGATGGAAAAACCAATGGTCAATACCTCCTTGTTTCAGCCTTTAGAACGTGATTACTAATTTTTGTTGCTTTGTTTTTTTAGTCTACACTTCCATCACCTTCCAGAGATCTGGAATCACCAAAACCCGAGGAAAAAATCGAAGCAGAACCCTCTCTGGAGGATTCTTTTGCTTTCTACTTCGAGAATGTCGCCGCAACTATCCGAAAGAAGAGCAAAGAGAGCATCTCTGACGAATGGTTAAGGCCAAAGTTGGCCGCCAAATGGGCATCTCTAAGTGAAAAGGAGAAAATGACCTGGCAAAAAGCTTTGGAAGCCTCTTTCTCCTCCACTCGTGCCTCCCACTGATATCTTGTGCTATTATTTTTACGTAAATAGAACCACCTATTTGAAACCTCGAGACTGTGTTCTGCACTTGGTTCCACCTGGTTTGATTTCAGTTACCTTTTAATTTTGTTGGTTATCGCACTCTTGCACAAACTCTTGAACTACTTTTTCTGCCCAACTTATTGGTTCATTGTAAGACCTTTTACAAATCTAGTTATTTAATACGTTTACATTATAAATTTGATTTTTCGATCATTTCTTCCAATATTCTTCTCTTATTCTCTCCAAATGCGACTTATTTTGTCTGTAAAGTGCTGATATAACAATTAGGCTGTTGTTGGTGTCTTCGCTCCTTGCACATTTAGGATACTCGGCGTATCACAAGATGTCCTTCTTGAGTACCATTTAGAACTTTAACATTGGCACAGTTTGTAGAAGTTTTAAAAATCTCAATTTCTTTTTGTTTAGTAGTATGAAACTAATTCTACCAGGATTAATTTGTAATTTGCCCTTTTTAGCAAAAATGAAAGATAGTCATTTGAAATCTCTTGGTTTGGACGTCGAGCGACTTGAATACGAGTTGAGACAATCCGTGCGTCTTGAAGAACGTCGTTGGCATGAAAATGATGCCAAATTGAGAGCCGTCGAGCAGAAAGTCGCTACTTATGACGAATTTAAGTAATCTCTAACATTTACTAAAATCACCTAATCTAGAAATATGGTTGATGCATGCGAGCTACAACCGTTAACTTGCAAAGATGTTCAAGAAGCTAATAAACAGAATACGGGTTGGGCTCGTAATTTTTCAGCCACTGCCTATTCAATCCCCAAAATTAATAAAGACATCCCTTATTCAGAAGGAACCCCTATCGTGAGTTCATTTTCAACCCTTTCCACAAGTAGTAAAGTTAGAATTTTCATTAAATTATCACGACGTATAGAATTAATTCGCGAAAGTATAATATAGTTATTTGGTTAAGGTGGTTACTTCGGACCTCTAGTTCTCTTGTCAATGGGGGCTCCTTTAACTCTGTGCAAATTATTTCCGCGTTTAAGAAATATAAACTGCAAAGTCAATGCACATTAAATTAATAAAGATTGCAACTCTGCGTTGCTTTGCTCAACTTAGAACAGGTTGCATTAAAGCGCTTCTCGCTGCCTTAAAATAACCACCTTGTGACTGCACTATAGCTTTCACCGTTTAAACTAGTTGTAGCTGTGATCAAAGCACAAGCCATTTCCATTGGTTGTTATTTACCACTCATTGGCTGGATTAAGGTACAGCATTAATTGTCACCTTGACAGCATTAGTCAACAAGAAGCGTATAAAGCGTTTCTTGTCCATGTTAGCTTACCAAAATTTCCCCACGTTATCCCTCGCCAGAGTATTAAAAATGTTCATTTCACGGCAATTATATTTAGCAAAAAGGCTAAAATAACTCATTGCATTTATAATTAGACGGGGGGTTTTATATATTCTTAAAGGGTGTTTCGGTTTTTTTCCTAATTATAGAAACAATTCAACCGGATTGATGAATTCATGCTATGTTGGAATGGCCTTGCAAAGAGTCAATCAAATATTGATTTGTTTACGTTATTGGAAAGGCAGTCTGACGAGTTGTTGAAAGAAACGTTTGCGTCCAGTGCAGGACTTTCAATTCTTTCAAGGGTTCTAAATTGTCTCCAAGATGCAATTTCGAGAGATTCTTCCTCTGTCATTCGGTTACTAAAAGCCATTGGATCAAGCAAAAACTTTGTCTTAACCACCACACTAATGTCGGATGAGGAATTGAATTTAGTAAAATTGATATTTCAGACCCTTGAGGAGAACTCTGAGGTATCAATAGATGGACATTTGCGAAGTCTATGGATTTCTGCTTAACCCACCTCTTTCCAAATATTTTATTATTCGTTCTAATTATATGATTCAAGTAAACGTCTTTCATTTTTGGTCAAATATGTATGAATTATCACAATGATGAAGGTGCTTAATTATAGAGGTATAGGTGATATCGCTTGTCAAATAGACAGATACCTTTCAATGCCTGCGTTCTATTTTATTCATTGAGTTAGATTCGTGGGATGGCCTCATTTGAGGTAGCCTTTCCGCGACAGGCCCTAAACAAAGACCTTACTTGAATAAACAAACAAACAAACAAACATATTTTAGTCTTTTTACTTTTAGAGGCACATTGGGACTGACAATTTGACAGTAAAGGGTAATTTGATGTGTAACCATCCCTGACTTACGGCAAGTAGTTTGATACTGGGGGGCACCATAGAAGACCCTGAAGGATCTTATACTGTATCGCGACAAAATTATACTTCAAACTGATTAGCCAATATTCGAAGTTGAGGCCAAATTATGTTCCTACGAGACTGGCTGAAGATGGATGAAGACTTAGAACGTCATTTCCGGTATGCAGAGTTTGGGACGCAAACCCTTTGCTTCCAAAAACTTCAAAACAGGCACGCAACGTTTTTTGCCCCAAAGTGCTCATGTGAATGCGTAAAGAAACCATAATAAGTGCGCGACCAACTGAGGAAGCCGTTATGCCGAGACATATTCGTCTTTTGGTCGCACACGACTTTAGGGGACTGTTGTCTTGATCTCGATAGCCATTACCTCTCACTTGCACTTCTTCGTCCTTATTCCTATATTTCCTATATCTCTCTTTAAGGAAGATATGCGATTGCAAGTTACTTAAGTGACTAGTGAGTTCTTGATGAGCTCTCATCTCTCCACATTACTACCATCTTCACCAAGTAGTAGGGTAGAAAGGCGATAGATCGGGAAGATGCTTTGGATTCAATTAAGTGTAAGAGGCAGAATTGTCAGTGGCGCAATTTAAAGATTTAGAGAGGTAATGGAGATAAATAAATCGAGATCAACATTATTGCAAGTAAATTAGCAATGAAGATCCTCGAACTATCTATGGTGTCTATTGAGGAGATATTTTAGTTTTTTATCATTTGCTCCCAATATTACGTATTTTAGAAACAAAAAATAGCTTCAATATGGTTACATTTTGTTACGAAAATTTTATTCGATCTCTTCTGTTTTCATTTTAACTCTTATTCACCAACTGCATAAAGCGAAATTTAGATTAAAACTCAGATCTATCAACGCCACCGACAATACATTGCCAACAAACAAGCCCCTTTTTAACATTTGGATCACTTGGAAGTGTGAACTTGGTAACTACTTTACTTGATTATTTTCAAACTCTTATAGCAAAATTTCGCCATTTTGGAAGCCCGAAGTCAACTAGAGGGCTAATGATAATTATCAAAACACCTGCCATTTGTTATAAATAAATATACTTAGTGATAGCACATGAGTGAAGTTTATAGAATCGTGTTGCAATGAAAAATGTCTTTTATAGAAATTCAGTAGCAACATCGACCACGCTTTCATTGGTGATTCCATATTCATGTAGATGCTTTCGAGGATCCAGATGAGTTCCATTGAAAGAGAGGTCGATCCTCTGGCCATTGATGAGACGTTGAGCTTGAAGAGCACGCATTACTTCGCTCACTTTACAGTCACAAGGAACGGTCATTCGAATTCGATATCTTCTCAGATCAAAGACGACAACCATCTCATTATTTTGGTTCTTTGGAGGCGATGGATATATATCACGTATACGGTTATCAGTCAAGTAAAGACTCTCCCCTTCTTTTAATTCAAGTTCATGTGGTGTCATGTTCGGATCGACTTTAACTCCGGATATAATAAAATCCTGATGATTTGGAGGAATCTCTGTCTCCAACTCAATACTTTTTGAGGCATTTCTGAGAGGTTTGGTTGGGTCAAGCATAAAAGTGAATGGATCACCATCTGCAAGTAGGAAGTGGACTCTGATCATTCTTTCTCCTGAAGCTAAACAGAGATTATCTTTGGAATCATTGCAGTAATCATATGTTTCAGATGGAGTTCCCTTTTCACCATTAAAAGTGTGGGCAACAGTTATTCCAGCATTATCCGTTATTCCATACTCTTCTAACATACGTGAATCCTCAAGAATATAATGAGAATAAACGAGGAAAGCATCCTGAGGGTCGAAAGATTGCGTAGGCACTCGTTTTTTAATCTCCGATCTTAAAACTGCTACCGTTGAATGAGAACGTAGTGGAATTGAATAGACCTCTTCGGGAGATATAACCACCCTCACTGAAAAAATCTTTTGACCGTTGATTGGAAGATGAAGCTGAAGTGAACCGAATTCCTTGATTTCATACTCACCAAGGCTTCTGGAATCTTCCAAATAGGTTCCATCTACAGTGAGAATGATATCACTCCGAGACAAACCCAGCGAATTTGCAATTAGTGATTTGACATCGGTAACTCGAGTTGACAGTTCAGCAGGAAAAGTCAAGAGTTCATTTCCACGATGAATAATTCTGAGTAACATTCTTTTATTAAGGCTACTTTCTTTCAAGCGGAAGCTGAATTTATGAATTCTCTACGAGTGGCAGCAAACAGTAATCAATTGGTGGCTCTTAAGTGGCTCACCCAGCGCACTCTTCCTGCGCGCGTGCTTTTAAGTGGGTATTTGAATTTTTGTGATACATTTGGAGAGGCAAGACTTTTCTCATGCAGTGAAACAGAGTGGTTAATTAAGTTTATGTCAAATGTTTGCAACGTTTTACTTTTCAGTGTCAGCTCATATGGTGAACTTCCATTGAGACGGATGACTTGAATAGGATTACCTCACTCTGGCATCAACTTACTTCATTTTTCAACTTAAACAGTCGTGAGTTCCAAAATACACCAAGAGTCCTTTGCAAGTACTTCTCAAAAGGTTACTCACACGTCTCTCAAATTAGTAGATACAGACCCCAAAAAATTTGGAACATGTCGGGTTTCTCAATTACAATATGCCACTGACGCTAATCAGACAGTGCATCCGAACAGACAGAAGCTATGAGATCGAAGGTTGTGCACAGATAGTGCTATGGATGCCCAACCGCGCAGGTTGAATAATGCCAACAAGTGGAATAGTACAGCAGTGATTAAGTTTGTCTCGAATTAAAGAGTTCATTTGTATTTTCCCAAATACTTCCCCGTGCCTTCAAGACCTGTTCAAGGTTATATGAACTACGCCAATTAAGAACACTTGACGTTGTTAGTTTGACCAGACTTGTCGGCAGCCTCGAATAGTCTGACCCAACTAAAGTGCCTTCAAGATTTAACCCCAAATACTCTCTTAGGGACTGCTAACTACGCACTTTCCTGCTCTTAATTTCTCTTTGCTGTACCATTTTCTTCAAGCACACCCCTTCCTATTTAGCATCGGGACTCATTCTCAGCATCTAACGCACACATCAATCTCAGACGATATTTTGCCCTTTGTTTGCTCTCTTCTCTCCTCGAGGAATGTCGTTAGTTCACCTTGATGATTGCTACTCTCTACTTCGCTGGCGTAGTGAAGATTGGCAGAAGTTAAAGGTGTAACCTGCAAAATAGCTACTGACTACAAAATCAGAATTATAGCAGACAGTCCGAAGTCTGAAGACTGCAAATTTCTCGTCAAAGCGTCTAGATAATAACTTTGAAGTGAGATAGCATTTTTTTACCATTGATCAGTGGGATTGAGCGTCTCTGCTACACCCACTACATTGGTGATCTAAAACCACGCTTCGTTGTTTCTTTCTGCTCAACATTTCTTGAATCCTTATTCTCAATCATTAACTTAGCAAATTTGGGTAAGAAAATAAAGTTTCTTCCTTTTGAAACTGATAAGAAAACGCAACTCCTTAAAAGGCGGCAAATCTTGCAAAAAATAAGACCTAAAATGTGACAAAATCTATTCCGATCAAAATGATTGAATGAGTAATATAGAGAGATAAAACGAAAGCACCCACGACTTAAACATTTATTTATATCAAATGGCAGGCGTTCTGATGGTTTTCATTAGCCCTATAGTTGACTTCAGGCTTCACAGAGAGGAAGTCACATCGAATTGAAAAAAGTCGAGAGGGGGGGGGGAGGAACTAAAGAGTGCTTCAAAGACGGAGGTTGAAAATTTAGAAAAAATGTGATGTAGTACCGTGGAAGTGGTCGGCTATGGCATACAGTGGGGTGATGGTAGTTTGAAGTGAGAAGTCAACTGCCGGTTAATAGACTTTTTGCCGTATGAGTATACGTTGACCAGGGTGTTCCACGTGAAGGTAAGTCTACCGCATACCCCACGACTTAAACATAAAGGCATGCCATTAAAAGAATTAAATTCACAATCTAGACCTTGCATTTAAAACCACTAAGC